GTGTGTGTGTGTGTGTGTGTGTGTGTGTGTGTGTGTGTGTGTGTGTGTGTGTGTGTCATTAAGCTAATCAGCTGCAGCACAGCAGACCTTCAGAAATTAGCACAAAAACATTCCTTCTACACTTAATGACCTTTGTTTGTGCTCACATGGATAAAATTCTCCATGATTTATAAAATCACGTTCTTAAAATATCTGAGCGGCTGTTAAATCAAAGCTTTACAAGCCACAACCAATCTCAAAGGTTTAGTGAGCAGCATTTCAAAGATGATAAATCAACATTTCCCGATTACCAATAAAGATACAACCTGCTTATTGAAAGCTTTTAAATAAATTGAGTTAACCGGTGAGTGTGCACACAAAAACAAATCCACATGTAAATATGTTTATACTGATAAAACAGACATGTCTCTGCCGGAAACTCATGTAAAGATTACCGTCATTAAATAACCCCAACAAATTAACTATTGCGTCTTTTAAAAGCTCTGAGTAAATACGTCCTCGTCAAGGAGCCTTCAAAGACATTTCTTCGTCTTTTTCCGAGAAGGAAACTGTGCTTGTTGTTCTGGGTAACGATGTGATGACGGAAACCTAATCGCAGATTGCAGAACAACTCGCGTCTACTTTTGATGGGTTGATTATGATCCCGCAGAACAAAATACACACACTTAAAAGTTGATTTTTTCCACAGACTGACGTGAACATTTCCTCGTCTCGTAATCCTTGCATCACTGACGATTCACATTAAAGCACCAGCCCCGTCTCTCTCCGGTTAAAGACGCAGTTTGCATCTGGCAGCACTTTGGGCGATTGCGTCACAGGTGGACGACGCTAAATGAAAGTGTAAACAATCGCCTGCGAGATGCATCGTGGTCCGAACTCATTCCAGCCTTCTCTGTGCTGTAGAAACGTGTGAGGTGATTAACGCTGTTCTGTCTGTGGACGGACATTGTATTAAATTTATCAAGACTACACATGAACACAGAGAATAATTTCAGTTTGTATTAACTGGGGACAGAGGAAATTAGATCTAAAGGTCTAATTTATAAACCTCTCCCAAATAAAAGTCTGCTTCTCTGCCAATTACGACGTAGCTTGTGGGTTTACAGTAAATTGTCCCTCGACACAATCTAAACCGTCTCCAGGACAAATGATTAACTCCTGAGGAAGACCTTACATGTCGACTTGTGTCTCCGGATGTTCGATGCAGCGTTGTCGTCTCTTGTGTTTCACACATCTTTAATTATCTCTCGATTGTGTCTCCGGTACATTAACACCCGGACGTAAACATTAAAATCTCATCAACCGTAATGTAAGTTAATGAAGGTGCCGAGTGTCTTTATTGTGATCAACGACTCGAGGCTTTATCGACTGAATTATGACGCGCCTACGACCTCGAACAGGCCGCAAACACGGTCACGTACCACGTTAAAGTCGAGGTTCTTCTCCACCCACTCGGTGGCGGCATCAAACTCGTCAAACATTTCCATGATGTAGAGAGTGTCCAGGGCGTCCACGATCGTCGCTCCTTGTATATTTCCTGCATGAGACACAGAAAGAGAGGAGACACAGAACATTAGAACGATCATGAAGTTTTCACTTCTCCAAATGAGCAAAAAACACCCATGAGGTTCCACTGATATGTTGTTTATTTTATCAGTGTGACTGACAACAGGTGCTGGCAGCAGCTTCACCGAAAACAGCTCTGAATAAACAGCAGACGTCAAGAGTTAAGTTTGGATATTGAATAATTTATTTTTGCTCGACAGATGGTGAGAGGCAGCGATTATCGGTGCCGATGAAACGTCGGGAGCGCTGCTCATCTCTGGTGATTAGCCTCTTAGCGGGAGGGAAGACACACGGAGACACAAAACCCATCATTTCAGAGCCGTCGTTCCTCAAATCCCCCCCCCCCCCCCAAAAAAAACAAATCCAACACCACTCAAACACTTCCTCCGTGCAGATGTCCGAGAGCCAAACAAATCATGAGGCGCGCAGCACGGAGCTCTCCGCCAATCTTTACACACTTGTTATAAACAGAGGACTTCATCTGTGACGACTTCGAGGTGGGAAGGAAAATGCAAAAATATGGAGGTGAAGAAAATGGAACATTACGATAAGCAAGACGGAGAGACGAGTAATGAAAACATGAATAAATCACTGACAGAAGAACGGAAAAAGAAAAACAGGACAGAGGAAAAGTGCTGAAAACAATAATAAATCTAATGGAAAGAGGAGAGAAAGTTTGAAAAGGCTGCAAAGTAGATTGGAGATGGAAACCAGGGAGGTGCTGGTTTGTTATTGTGGGAATGGGTTGGTTTATATTCCTGAAAGTGGTGGGAGGATCCGAAGGCAGCTAAAAGCTTTCCATTAGACGCAACGCTGAATCATCAGCTACAGACTGTTGTCCATCAAAGCCAGAGCTGTGTTCACTGTGTCTGAGTGGGATTATTATTACTTTAAATACACCACAGGCCGGATGACAATTCTGTCAAAGAGAAGTGGAGGTGATTTTGATGATGAGAGAAGAAGGGAGCAGAACTTGTGCAGAAACGCACGATGGGAATAGTTCATTTGTTTGCTTTCCGAGAGAAGAGACCAACGTCTAGAAAGATAAGAAATATAAAAACAATACTAAATATTGGTTTCACAGGGAGTCCCACACCGCTACTGTAAGATGGGTTTACATCTTTCACAGACGTATTGTTTGCATATCAACGATATGAAAAATGTTGTTTGCCTTTATGTTTACGCTTAGTTTCATAAATCAAGATCCATTTACGTGGTTGTGTTTTCTTCTTATCCTTTATTTATAATCAAGTTTAACAACGTGCAGATTCGTCACAGTGAGGTTGCCAGGTTTGGCAGTGTACAGGGACGTATATTAAAACCTTCCCTTACCATATCTGGCAACCGCACAACTGATCTTGAACTGAATGAAAAGTACAGTTTTAAGAAAAATAAAGGTAAAGATGGTACCATTAAATCCAAGAAGTGGAATAAAAATCAGCAACGAAAAGCCGAACTAATAATGGAATAAATATCAGAAAAGTTCTCGACATGACTTTTAAAAGCTCCTCTTAGATTTAAGAACAATAATGAAATCTGCATTAAACTTTTCCGTTGCACGTGGACTCGATCATATTCTAATAGAAAGACCGACATCGTGTTTACTGGTCCCCTGCTGTTGTCCAGTACCTGTCCTCGGCCCATGCGACAGAAACAGAGCATGTAACTGGAAGTGTCACCAGATCAAGTCACTTGTCTTTCCTGTTTTTCCGCCGCCCTCACGTTTTCGCTCCACTGAAGCTTCTAGAGCGACAAAGAGAGGACAGGACACTTTAGTCCCCGTCCATTGTCTTGTCACTGTGCTTCCTTCCCCCTCGCTGCTCGTCCTGAATCTGTGTGTGTGACGTGACACGTCGGCTAATAGTGACCAGGATACCAACATTTCATAAAAAAAAATAGAAGTCGGAGAGAAGAGGAAATGTTTTTGAATTTTAAACAAAACGCTGATTGAAATTGTTTCGTCTCTCTGTGACACGTGGAGACAAAACTTCAAAAACAGACTTGAATGAATTCAATAAGTGAAATTTTAACAAGTTATTTAAATAATATGGTATTTGGGACGTACACTATCATAAAAAGGACAAACACTTGTAACTATGTGTGATCTATTGTCTAATGATTGTATTAATTCTCAATTTTTATATTTTGTCCCTCACAGTTTTCTTCACCCTTCATTCGTCAAAACTCATCAAATGGTGAGTTTTGTTTCCCGATGAGGGGAAAACTAAGCGAGATGTGTTTTTAGACTTGAAAAGGAAAATGTCCATCCGGCTCTGACTCGTCAGGAGCCAACACAATAAGTGACCTGTTGGTCGACTGAGAGGAAATTAATCTCTGGGTAAAATCAATTCATGGTTTCAGTCGTTAGTCAAGCTAAAGTGTTTCCACTTGTCTCAAGGAATCAATATTTAACATTATCAGACAAAACACGTCTTTTCAAGCTTTTTTAGATTCCCTCTGTCAGGATAACTCATGTTAAAGAAAGATAAATCCACGATCCCCAGGGTTTCGGTATCTGCTCGGAAACTTGATTGCTTCTTCAACAAATCCCGCCCCACCCCTTTCTTAACATTGTATTATTTATATATTTAAACTAATCTTCAGACCACTTATCTTTTCATGGAGCGCACAGACGACACTGATCACAGAGGAACAAACTCCGATGTTAGTGAGGCGGTCTGTCGGGGGCCACGATGGCACAGGGGCACCGAGAATCTGCTCAGATCAGTTTGTTCCCAGATCTGGGATTTGCGGCGGTGACCAGATGGAAAGGCTGTATGAAACTGAGATGGGATTCAGTGGAGGTCTGTGAGGTTGGAGGGGCTGAGTCCAGGGATCATGGATTTTTTGTTTCTGTTAGCGACTGGGAGCACGGAGAGGAAGCAGATGGCTCAGCAGAGGGCGGCGTCCATGAAAAAACAAGAGTGGTGACTGAGGGGGAGGCTGAGGAGGAGAGGCTCCGCGGTGCCTCTGGAGAGGAGGAGCAGTAGGGGAGGACAGGTCGTATGATATTCGCTGCAGGTGGGAGGCTTATCACAGTGGGAGAATCCTTTCATTTGTTAATGTTCATTCCAGGAAAAACACAAGCAGCAGTGTTTTCCACCCACAGCAACAAGCCTCGTCTGCTTCTGCACCAATCAGAATGATTACTGACAAATGTTTTGATATTCAGAGTCGGTTCGATCCCCGGCTGAACTCCTCACGCTCCTGATTCATCAGTGTGACTCGTCGGTTTCATACCGTTGGTTTGAACTGCAGTAGTCATCAAAATGTGATGAGTTCCTATCGGCAGGGATCGATAGGCTTATCGGCCAACATGGCACAGGCCCCGGGGACACAGAGGTTGAGGGGCCACAGCAAGTCAAACGACCACAAAGTGATGCGGAACAATGACAACATTTTGTGTCCCCTTCAGTCAGGGTGGACGAGGGCAGGGAGTGTCTGTCTCCAAGGATTCGGTGTCTCATCATCCATCCATGAACCAGAAAAGCCAATGAATGCACTGAGAACGCCACAATGTCCAGGGGACAAATTTAAATTGTAGTTACAGAAAATAACCTGGGTCACATTCCTCCCCTCTAAATTGCACAAGTCTCTGCAGGCTCATCGGTCACATGCCGCGCCACCGGCCGACACAAGTAATTTCTCAACCTGTGGGAAATGCCGATTGTAATCCCGGCAAAAGCTCCGCTTGCTCTGTTGTCGGCTGTGAGCGTGAACCTGCCTCCTTCTGCGATGCGTCCTCGGCTCTCAGCATTGGTTTGAAATGAAAGACTTCCTCCATTTGTTTCCTGCAGCTCACTACCAGTGCACCGTCGGAGGAGATTTCATTCATCCCCCATTCATCTTATTATTAATGTCAGAGGGAGATCAATCCCCCGATAGATGCATGCGTTGTGACGAGAGTGGTGATAAGGACACAGAGAAGAAAGCTCGGCTGGTGCACCATCGGTAAAACAGCAGACTGCAAAGACTTCTTTGTGCAAACACCAACGCCTTGAGGTTGCAAAGAATGTTGCCTAAAGCAAAATTCTTCCTTTAGTGAATTCAAAACCAACAACAAAAAGAACAACTCAAAGAATGTGTGCAGGATATTAAAATCTGTTGTGATGCTGGGGAGACAAAAAGCTGCAGCTCACTCCTGCGGATGCTGTTTGTTACCAAAGACGCCGGTGATGCCCATTTTTCCACAGAACACGAGGAAAGTGAAAAAAAAGGGAGGCGAGATGAAAAATGAAAGAGCAGGTGTCCTGAGAAGACAAGAATCATTACCTCCCTGTGCCCAGACAGAGAATAAGGATAGATGGGAGAGGGATGGCAGAGAAATGGAAGAGTGAAGCTCCAAAAGTCGTTAACAGAAAGTATCTGTTCCTCCTTTCCTGTGTCTCCAAACAAAATCCATCCAGTTGCTCCTCTTCCTGCGTCAACTCGGCCTCTAAGCAGATCAATCTTTCCTTCTTTTGTTTTCTTCACATTTGTTAAAGTTTCACCTTCAATTCTTCAGGCAGTGGTTCTTTACTTCCACTCTGTCGTCTATTGAGTTATTTCCTCCAACAGAAAACAAGGGATGAGGGGAGTGCAGCCTTTCTCGTCCTATGTACTCATCTAATTTGTGTTGGTCGACTACACTTCGGTCTCAGGCAGATTTATGTTTAATTGACGGTTCCGCAAGCGAGAAGCTAAAGCATCTTGATCTCTGGCTGCAGCACGGGTCGTAAACCCTGGCTCTTCCATGTGGGATGTGGACCAAACTAAAAAGTCAAAGTACACAGGAAATATGTGTGAACTTGTCTCATCAGGACCTCGCTTAGTGCTGCATTTTTACACAATAGGAGGAAGTGGAGATGCGCCCAGTGTGTGCATGCAAATGATTGATCGACAATAGGATGCAGCTGCCTATCTCTAACACACACACACACACACACACACACTCACACACACGAGGTAGATATTGCATTTTGAATCCATAAA